TCAGCTTCAGAGGCATACAACTGGCACACCATGGCAAACAGTCAGATGCATAAAAGTACCTCTGACCGTTAGGACGGTTCAGGACCATCACCAGTCGGCAATATAAAAATGCCGATGACGGTCCTGAACCGTCCTAGGTCCTTAAGGGGTTAATTAATTTTTCTCCTTGCTGTTTTGATTTATTTTAATTTTTTTAACTTTTTTCCCCTTTTTATATATATATATATATTTTTTATTATTTTTTTTCTCTCTCTCTTTGCTGGATATATTTAAACTTTGTCCCTTTATTTTCTTCTATAATTTCTCCTTGCTGGTGTTATTTAAAACGTTTTCCCTCCTTTTTAAAAAAATTTTTTTCTCTCTCTTGTTGTTTCTATTCCCCTCCTTGTGGGTTCTGCTGCTGCTGAGCTAATTAGGGGGAGTGCCCCTTAATTTCCACCTGTGCGGGATTTGTATTGCCAATATAAACCCACTAGTGACTCACAGAGCTTGCTTGAAAGTAGGCTATTTAAAGTAGTCTCTTTTAAGTAGGAGTTAAAACAACGGGAGTTTGTTGGTGAACTGGTGGACTGTGGTTGGTATTAGTTAATACCAAATGGGGAAAAAAAGCAGGTTTAAATTTTTGTATTTTGTATTTTAATTTTTTTTTAAAACTTTAACCCCTTAAGGACTGGACTGTTTTTGCGATGTTGTACATTTGCGACCAGGCATCTTTTTACACTTTTGTGGTGTTTGTGTTTAGCTGTAATTTTCCGCTCTCTCATTTACAGTTCCCATACAAATTATATATTGTTTTTTGCAGGACAAAAGGGGCTTACTATACATACCATTATTTTTATAATCTCATGTAATTTCATTTTAAAAAAATTAAAAAATATGATGAAAAATTAAAAAAAAAATACATGTTTTTTTACTTTTACGTGAAAAATCTTTTACTCATCTACAAAAGCGAATGGGGAAAAAAAACTGCTAAACAGCTAAACAGATTCAAACTTTTGTCCTGACTTTAAAAATACGCAGTGTTTACATGCTTTTTTGCTATTTTTTTGCATGTGGGTTATAAGTACAAGTAGGATATTGCGGTTTCAAAACATACATTTTAAAATTTATCAATAGTGACATTGTAACACTATTATCTGTCATAAATCTCTGAATAACACCCCACATGTACATATTTTTTTTAAAGTAGACAACCCAGGGTATTCAATGGGGTATGTCCAGAGTTTTTTAGTAGCCACTTAATCGCAAACACTGGCCAAAGTTAGCATTCATATTTGTTTGTGTGTGAAAAAAGTAAAACACTAAATTGAACGCTAATTTTGTGACTAAGTGGTTACTAAAAAAGACTAGACATACCCCATTTGCAATACCTTGGGTTGTCTTCTTTTTTTTTTTTAGACATTCTTTATTTTATTTTATTTTTTCAGTTTCAGACAGGTAACAGTGATTATGTTATAGCATTGAACATATATAGATGAACATTAGTAGAACAATTAAATATCTTATGTGTGGAAGTGATCAGAACTAGGTATATTCAGTTATATTGTGATGAGATAAGGGCGTATTTCCGCATTGGCTATCTGTTATTAGTGTCTGTGGTTGCGAGTTTGTAGGTGTTTTTATACCTTTGTAGTTATCTCTGTAAGAGTAAGTAGGGTGGATTCTCGGTTGAGGTTTTAGTTTTTTTCCCTGCTGGTGTGTGTGCAGTACCTGTTGGATTGTCAGTGTCTTCGTTTTGCTTTATGACCCCTTGTTTTGCTTAGTTTTGTGTGAATTTTACTTGGTGGTGAGCTTATTTTGGGACTCGTCTATATAGCTTGTTCCCGAGTCGGGCAGCCATGTTTTAGTGTATATCCTTTTTTGGTGTTTTGCCTGCTCTGTTTCTTTTGCCCTATGAGCTCGGGTGTTCGTTGTAATAGTTTGTGGTTCATTTGTGTGTGTCGGGTCAAGTTTTGGGTGTAGGCTATTTATGTGATATTGTCTAGTTATGTCTTCGCACTATTTCTCCAGGGTTGTTTAAAGAGTCGGGTTGGGTTTACTCCTGGTTAGTGATATCTTGGTCTCTATTGGATTAGTGTGTCTTCAAGTGTCTTTCGTTGTTGGTATTCCTTTTGTTCCCCTGTGTGGGTTAGTCACGTCCTACATCTTGTGTGGTGGTGTGTTTCCTTTCAGGTGTACATGGTTAGTGTCCATTGTGTTTGGTTTAAGGTAGATCTGGGTGTGGTCTGTATGTTAGATGCCCATGCTAGTTGTCAGCTCTGAGGGGTTTTGAAGCCCTTTACCAAGCGTGGAGTCGCATCTTCTCTATTGGTAGATTTTCCTTTGCTTCCTCCCTATCTCTTATGTGTCTGTGAGGGTCCTGGGTCAGCTAGCCACTCTATCCCCCGGTCGTGTATGTCTTCCTCTGTCTGTCTTTTATTTATCCCTGCTTTTGGGGTGTGTGATCTGCTATGGTCTAGCTATGTTTGTTGTGGAGTGTTTCGGATATACGTCTCTGTTGCATGTCTATTGTCCCTGGGGAGGGTGTGATCAGGTGTGTGGTTCAGTCAGTTGTGGCGTTTATTGTGGTTGTGCGCTATCTTGTCGGGGGTTTTGCACTGCCGCGGTAGCATCCCGGCTCCCCCCCACGTCAGCCCGTGTAGCTCTCTTAGACACATAATCCTTCCATGGGAACCATGTCAGGGCACACCTGCGTTGAGCAGTAGGTTCAAATATTCCTGGCCTATGAATACGTAGTCTATACGACTATAGTGTGCGTTGACTGCCGAGTGGTAGGTATAGTCACGCTCTTTTGGGTGGTAGGCTCTCCAGCAGTCCACGAGCCCGGACTTGTGTAAGGATCGTTGTGCAGCTCGCAGACAGTGTGTGGGGATCGCACTTTGGCCTCTGAAGGTTTCCATGTGGGGGTCCAGAGGCAAGTTTAGGTCCCCGGCCATCACCAGCAGGCCCTCCCTGAATCTCTCCAGCTTGGCCCGTGTCCGGCTCAAGAAGGTGTGCTGTTTTTTATTGGGACCATACAAGCATGTGAAGGTGTATACACGGTCTACGATTGTACCCTTGAGGAATAGATATCGTCCGTTCGGGTCTGCTATGGTTTTCATGCATTGGAACGGTGTCGTGTGTGCGAAAAGGATCGCCACTCCTGCTTTCTTGGCGTCGGTGCCGTTTGCGTAGAATCCCAGTGGGTAGCATCAATTTTCCAGTTTAGCTGCACCTCTGCCTCTGAGATGCGTCTCCTGCAGGAATGCCACAGACGCTTTCGCTGTCCACAGCCGTTGGTGCAAGTGTGAGCGTTTTTCTGGAGTATTGAGTCCCTGGATGTTATTGGACCAGTATGTCAGCTGAGCCGAGGAAAACCCCTGTCTGGCTGCAATCTTGGGGAAGGGGGGGTCAGGGGAGGGTGTTGCGTTATTGCAGTTCTGTTGCGGAATTTCGTATGGGGGATTGTATGGGTGTGACATCAACCCTGCACCAGGTGCTAATGTTCCAGTGCTTGGGTGGTGTGCCCGTCCCGTGGAACCCCGGTTGTAATTACAGTGTGGGTCTGTCTCAGTGAGGTTCAGTGGTGCAACCTTTGGTAGTGGTGTCGTCTGGTCATTTGGTCAGTTGTCTTCCTTCCTCTCCGTCAGCTCCCAACCTGTTGGAGGCGTTTGTTGTCGTATCGTCGGTGTTAGCTAGTTTGGGGTTGTTTTATGTGTTCCCGTCCTCCCGGTCTCTATGGGCCTTGTGTTTCTTGTTTGTGTTTCTGCGACTCGCCGTATGCTGGTGTGTTCAGGTCTCTCCCATTCCCGGCAGTACCTCTGTTTCCCTTAGATAGCGCTCCTCTAGGTTAGTTAGGTTCCGACTAGTCCCGTCTTGTTTACCGTCCACGTGTTCTGTGTCACCTCTCGATGTATCCTTAGGGTTCCAGTGAGTCGTGTGCTAATGTCTCCTATTGTTTTGGTCTTAGTTGGGGTCCTCTCCCGTGGGAAGGCTCTAGTGTTTTAATGTGCTGACCCCTATGTTTAGCTATATTGTAGCGTGTGTCCTTCCATGGTGGCACGTCTGGTATGTGGGCTCTAGTATTTGCTAGTGTGGTCCTTTTGTCGGGCCGTCTTTACATGTGGCTCGTATCTCACCCAGTGGTTCCTCCCCTTCTTGGGTAATCAGATGGGTTTCGTGCAGTTTGCAGCAGCATATGTCTTGTGGTTGACCCGTGTTAAATACTTGTGCTCTACACACTTGTTTGGTGTGGGGTATGTGTGTGTAGTGGGTGGTCGCTCAATGGGAGGTCTCCCGGTGTGTGGTTTTAGCAATGGGTTTTTCTATCCTTTTCGGTACCTTCCACTTGTTGTCTGTTTTCTACCTCCCTAATTCCCTTGCAAGAATCCGGCCCATATTATCTCCGGCCGGTGTTCCAGCTAGGTCTGCATCTTACGCCCATTCTACTCCAGACCCCTACCTCTGGCTCCTCTCCATTCTCCCTTGGTGCTATGCAGTCTCAATGCCTTGGGTTAGTGATTCAATTGTTTTTATGTAGTGTGCTTACTGCGTTTGTGTGTAGCATGTAGGGTGGTCTCTCATCTGGGGGGTTATCAGCTCGAAGATACCAGTGATAAACATTTACATTATGTACAATATATTACCCAATATTTAAGAGGTTCTCCAACCCATCACCCGTCCCTCCCCGGACCTTGTCCCCTCGCATTCTTCCGTGCCCCTGTAATCCGTTGTCCCACATTTCAAAATGCTGTTGTTGTATTGTCCCAGTTGTAGTTGCGCTTGGGTACCCGTTGCCTGTCGCGAGCCTGAGTGATAACGGCTGGAGTCTTCCCCGTCTCCCTCCTTCCCCCGTGAGTGCCCATATCCTCCCAACCTCAGGGTTCCCTCTTGTTATGAGCCTTTGTTGTAGGGCATTCCAGTGGGACATTCTACCCCTTGTGCACCTTCTGAGTTGACCTCTCCCTCCCCACCTATCTGGCTCCCACATATGCTTCCCGTCTAAAGATATTGGGTAGGGTTTAGGAAGAGTACATACCCCAGTCCAGGCCTTCTTTCAAGCGGGTCTGGGTCGGTGGATCATCTTTCTCCAATGGGCCTTGGACACGGAGTGCGCCGGACCATTCCGGTTCGGCGTATTTTCTTTGCTTGCTGAGGGGGGGGTACCTGGTTGGGGCTATTCTTCGGGGACCTCTGCGCCATCGTGGGACCGGGTCCACCTGGAGATTGTGTGCCACTTCCGATGGCCCTGTTGCCCAGGCCGGAGGTCCTTCAAGGATCCAGTTCGGGATCTGCACTGTGGGTAAGCTGGTTGCGTTCAGGAAGCGGGGTACGTCATTTGGCCACCGAATAGTGTGCCACACGTTGCCTGTTCTTGCCTGTAGGTTAAATGGGAACCCCCATTTGTAAGGGATCCTCTTCTCCTGCAGCATCCGGGTTAGCGGCCTCAGGGCCCGGCGGCATCCAGGGTGATTGTGGACAGGTCGTGATAGAGGGAGACCTAGGAATCCATATATGAAATCCGTTGCTGCGCTCTAGCTGCCTGCATTAGGGTTTCTTTGAGTTGAAATGATTCTAACGAGCAGATGTCTCTTCTAGGGGCCCGCAGGGCCCAGTGTGCTCTCTCAATGCCAAAATTGTTGGGGGTCATGTCTCCTAGGAGGTGTGTGAACAGGCCTATGAGGACCTAATGGGGGTCTTCTCCCTCCGCCTCCGCTAGGCCTTGGACTCTTATGTTCTTTTTGCAACCTCTATTATCGAGGTCCTCGACCTGTCGGCGGAGGTCCAGAAGAACATTCCCTTGCCTCTCAGTCGCCAGCTCTGCTGCTTGCCGGTATTTTTTCCTCCCTGATAACTGCTCTCAGTTCCGCGACCATTTCCACCTTGTCCTTGCGGGTGAGCATGTTAGCTGTAATTTTTGCTAAATCCGCTGAATATTTGGGCTAGCGTGGAGGGCACTGGGGAGGTCTGGCTCGAGTGTGCCGCGACGGAGCTTGGTGAGGACGGTGTTGTCGTGGCGGCGTCATCGGTGCCACATAGGCCTTGCGGTGTTGTGAGGAATTCGTCCATCGGGCCGGGATTTTGTCTAGCTGGGGTCGCACCGGAGGTACCAGCTGTACCCATTCACTTAGATTTCCCCATTTGTAGGTTAATTTATCGCTATGTATCTGGGTTTAGCAGGTTGGGGCCTAGGAGCTCAGGTCGAGTACATCTCACTCCATCAGCAGTCAGGCCATGCCCCTGGGTTGTCTTCTTTTGAAAATGGTATGCCATCATGGGGGTAATTCTCATTCCTGGGCTACCATACGCTCTCAAATGCAACATAACCAACCTGACCATTTCAATGTAAAAATATTTGACCCATATATTTGAACCTGTAACTTTCAAAAACGCTATAAAACCTGTACATGGGGGGTACTGTTATACTCAGGAGACTTTGCTGAACACAAATATTAGTGTTTCAAAACTGGAAAACGTATCACAACAATTATATCATCAGTAAAAGTGCTTTGTGTGTGAAAAATGCAAAAAAAGTCACTTTCACTGACAATATCATCGCTGTGATATGTTTTACTGTTTTGAATCACTAATATTTGTGTACAGCGAAGTCTCCCAAGTAAAACCGTACCCCCCCATGTACAGGTTTTAGGGTGTCGTAGAACGTTACAAGGAAAAATACAGTGCTAGCAAATTAAATTCTCTGGACTTTCGGCCTGGGTTGGCAGGCAGGTCCCTCCAATTGCAATCAATAAAATTACTTAATTATGTAAAACTATTACATAAATACGCACGTAGAATTTAAATATATAAGCATATTTATATATTTGAAATCTACGTGTATATTTATATAATTATGTAATTTTGTATATGGACATATGTATATTTCGTATTATTTTTATTTATTTCAATATACATAGATTTGTATATATAAATAATAATATACATAGATTTTTTAAAATTTTTATTATTTTTACATTTTTTTATTTAAATTACTTATTTGTATTTTATAATATGTATTCAATATATATAGTTATTATATATATTATATATATGTGTGTAATTTAATTATAAGTGATCTTTATATTATATGTATATATTAATATAAAAATACATAGTATAACATTATATATGATATATAGACTTATTATATAGATATGTCTATATATCATGTAATTTAATTTTTATATAGCTATGTCTATATAATATCATGTAATTTAATTTTAAAAAAAATATGATGAAAAATTGAAAAAATACATGTTTTTTGACTTTTACGTGAAAAATCTTTTACTCATCTACAAAAGCGAATGAAAAAAACTTTTATATATATTTTTTTTAATTAACATTAACCTTTATTTTTTTTGTAATTTTACACTAGCAGGCAGTCCCCCTGCAGGCAGACACATGGACACCTATTGTGACCATGTGATCGCTCTGTTGAGCGATCACATGGCCCCAGGGGTCCTAATCCGCCGTGGGGAGACAGGGCGATCGGGTAAGTACCTCTGACCGTTAGGACGGTTCAGGACCGTCACCAGTCGGCAATATAAAAATGCAGATGACGGTCCTGTACCGTCCTCGGTCCTTAAGGGGTTAATTTATTTTTCTCCTTGCTGTTTTGATTTATTTTAATTTTTGGTAACTTTTTTCCCCTTTTCATGTATATATTTTTTTTTTCTCTTTGCTGGATATATTTAAACTTTGTCCCTTTATTTTTCTTCTATAATTTCTCCTTGCTGGTGTTATTTAAAACGTTTTCCCTCCTTTTTTTCATTTTTTCCCCTCTCTTGTTGTTTCTATTCCCCTCCTTGTGGGTTCTGCTGCTGCTGAGCTAATTAGGGGGAGTGTCCCTTAATTTCCACCTGTGTGGGATTTGTATTGCCATTATAAACACACTACTGACTCACAGAGCTTGCTCACTGGAGTTTGCTTGAAAGTAGGCTATTTCAAGTAGTCTCTTTTAAGTAGGCGTTAAAAAAAACAGGAGTTGAAACTACAAGGGAGTTTAAACCAAGAGGGTAAATATTGTTTTTGCTCACTTGTGTTTTTTGTAACTGGGGATGAGTGCTAGCAAGATTGCAAATTTAACTCAATGCACATCATGCCACATGTATGCATGCCTGGATGATTCTGTCCAGGGTCCATACCTCTGTGGTGGGTGTGAGTGAGTGGCATTTCGGGAAGCTCAGATTAGAGATCTGGAGAGGCAAATTGTAACACTGAGGGAGATTGACAATATTGACAGGAGGCTGCTGCTCACTGAGCAGATTTTAGTGGGGACAGGTAGTGGAGAGGGAGGAGATAAGACAGATGGGAAACAGGCACATAGCTGGGTGACATTGGGGCGAGGAAGCAGGGGGGAGGGAAGAGAAAAGGTTTAGCTAGTCCTGATCTCATGTAGCCTAACAGATTTGCCCGTTTGAGTGAAGATGTTGGGAGTATCAGCTCAGGAGTAGCTGTACTGCAGGAAGCTGTTCCTGCTAACAGCCGTCGGAACAGGCCCTCTAGTACGGGTGGGGTTGAGAGGGTAAGGACGTCTAGACAGGTTGTGGTGGTAGGGGACTCTATTATTAAGCGAGTAGATAGGGTAATCTGCCACTCTGATCGACTCAACCGGACAGTTTGCTGTCTCCCGGTTGCTCGGGTCCGACATGTTGCCGACAGAGTGGAGGGATTATTGGGAGGGGCTGGAGATGACCCAGTTGTCATGATCCATATTAGTACCAATGACAAAGTCAGAGGAAAATGGAAGGTCCTAAAGAATGAGTTCGGGGAACTAGGAAGCAAGCTAAAGAAAAGGAACTCCAAGGTAATTTTTTCAGAAATATTACCTGTGCCGCGCGCTACAGCAGAAAGGCAGTGGGAGATTAGAGAGGTCAATGCGTGGCTAAAGTCTTGGTGCAGGAAAGAGGGTTTTGGGTTTTTAGAGCACTGGGCCGATTTTGCGCTTAGGTACAACCTGTATAGTCATGATGGATTGCACCTAAACGGAAGAGGGTCTGCTGTGCTGAGGGTAGGATGGCTAGAAGGTTGGAGGAGATTTTAATCTAGTGGTAGGGGGGGAGGGTCAAAGCAATCTAGAAAATGGAGATAGGATGGAAAGGAGATGGGCTTTACCTCGGAACAAAGGCGGTGGAGATGGGGGGGAGGGGAAAGCTCAGAACAGAGGAGGTATGTAATATTGATAAGTCACAAAAAGTACAAAAGACTCATGATAATATTAAATGTATGCTTAGTAATGTAAGGAGCCTAGATAACAAAATGGGGGAACTAGAGGCAATAGCATACACTAAACAATATGATATAATAGGCATAACAGAAATATGGTGGGATGAGACACATGACTGGGCAGTTAATTTAAATGGGTACACGTTATTTAGGAAGGATAGGAAAAACAAGAAGGGTGGTGGGATATGTTTATATGTCAACCATGAGTTAAAGTCAAATCTTAGGCATGTGGAGTGTGACGAGGAAAATGTGGAGGCTTCATGGGTAGATATCTGCTTGGGGCAAACAAAGAGAAATCAATTATTGGTTGGAATATGTTATAAAACACCTAATGTAAATATTATTGAGGAAGAACAGCTGAGAAAGCTGCAAATCGAGGTAACACGTTAATTATTGGAGATTTTAATTACCCAGACATAAATTGGGATAGAGGGACTAGTACTTCAGCAAGGGGAAATCAGGTTTTTGAATGTGTTAAATGACACCTTTATGTCACAACTGATACAAGCACCAACTAGAAAGGATGCTTGTCTGGATCTCGTCATAACAAACAATGTTGATCTTTTAACCAACATTCAAGTAGGGGAGCATTTGGGAAATAGTGATCACAATATGGTAAATTTTTAAATAAACTATACCGCGAGTAGGGGCATATCTATTAAAAAGTAACCAATCAGAGAGTTATGAGTCAAATTACACAGCGTGGGAAAATTCCAAAGAACTTTCCCACGCTGTGTAAAATGACACAGAGCACTCTGATTGGTGGATTTCAAACCAACCAATCAGAGTGCTGTGACAGGTAAATGTAGAGACTTACCTGTCAGTCTCTTCATTTGCATGTCAGAGCACTCTGATTGGATGGCTTAAACCCACCAATCAAAATGCTCTGAGCCTAATTGCAGGGCGGGGCAAGGCTTTATAAGCCTTTCCCCGCCCTGCAGAGCTCAGTCTGCGTGGAGCCCTCACCGGGTGAAGATGTTTTTGGTTTTTTTTTGCGCTCTTTTATTTTTATAATTGCGTCCGTTATTACGGTTTTCTATTTGGCCTTTTTTGGGGCTGAAAAAATAAGATTTTAGAAGAAAGAAAACATCGAATAGTAAGTTTTATTTATTTTTTTACAGGTACTTAGTTAAAGGTACCCCCCTCATTATTTTTAGGGTGAGGGGGGTAGGTAGGGGGATAATTTTTTTGGGGGGGAGGGGGTGAC